GATCAACGTAAAATAACGAAAAGGTTAAATTATTAAAAAGGGAAGACACGGGGCCTCCGAACTACCAGCTGGTTGCTAGTGATTGGTGATCAAGAAAGAACGTCGTAATTATGATGGGATATGATCATAGAAAAAGATCATAATGTCAATTAAGATATAATGGATAGTCTTCCAAATCGTTCAGTTTATGTTGCCTGTTGTAGACCTAAACGGGAAAACATTGCGGTCTCATTTTTTTCTTGAGAGAAATGTGGCGCCAGGTTTTTCCTGTGAACGGTATCAACATTTATACAATAAAGAGAAAAAAACACGATTTGAAAGTCAAGCGATGCGATTTAACTCGCCATACCCTTGGGCAATACGCTGATTTCTTTTTTCGTTACTGAATGCGAATGCTACCTGTTTTCTGCCTTTTTTTCTCTCGAATGTACTCCTTTCTCTCTTCTTAAGTATTCAAAATTACAGAGAGCGAACTGTATAGGTGATTGAGGGGAGGCAGCTGAAGTTAGCGACAAAATTATCGCGGCGCACTTCCTCTTCATCTGTTGCTCGTAGTACGCCACGACCTATGTCTGGGGCTGGTGTGCACGCTCTGCGATCGATTTTGTCCCCTTAGGGCCACCATACATTTCAATTTGAAGGTGTCGCGTCGTTGTCAGACGCGCGGGTACCATCATTAGAGAACCGCTTTATCACCACCATGTTGGGCAGGGGAGCTCGTAACTGAACAACCCCCTCGGTGAAAAATATCTCTATTTGTGTCTCCTGTCAATCACCTATTGTTGCGGACAGTCTACCTCTGTATGTGTCAAAAGTGGGCAGCGAGCACTCGTGTGTTTTTTCCTCTTTTCGCCCGTAATTTTTCCCTTTTATTCAGATTTGAGAACAGACAAAAGTAATGAGGGGAGAAAAGAAAGTTAAGAAATTTCCTGTTGATTCAAGTCGAAAGGTTCACTCCTCTCCTTACATGACGTAATGCCCTTTCATTTCAGTGTAACTCCCTGACGAACCAGTATTAAAACGGTTTTCTGAGTAGAGATAAGTTTTGTTTTTCTCTCATCTCTGCTCGTCAGGGAAGTACGAGAGACCTCATTTATCGTAATCCGTTTTTAGTTCTCCATGATCCATCGCCAACTTGAAACGAAATGGATGAGAAGCGAGAATTGCCTTTTAATTCTACTTTCAAAATTACCATGACAACGCAGCTGCTTCAAAAGCACGTGTATTATTAGCATCGTTGGTGAAGGCGGAATGGGTTGAAATTGGCGCGCGCCGCTTTTCAAAAAAGAAACCATTACGGCAAATAAAGGTTTCAAAAATTTAGCGTTTTAATCATCGTAATTTACACTAATGGCTTAGGGGCTGGCGATGTCGTTGTGGCGATGTCGCTAATGCAAAATGGCGCAAACAGCGGAATCAAAATGGAAACGAGATGACGATGGTTGTTTGGGGGTGTCCACCAGGTCCTGAAGAATACCTAAGTGATTTATCTTGGATGATGTTAATGTCAAATCGTGCTATTTTCTTGAACTTGAGCTGCGCTTCTTAGAGATGCTTTCAAATACTCTCTCGTGTCACGAGCACGTCTCCGAAGAAAGTGATATCCCATTATCATGGCAGTGGTTATCGCATTATGATGACTGTCATGAATAAATTCAATATGGAATGGAAGCTGATTTTATTACCGAGATTTTCCCATTGAAGGTTTAGAAGCTTTCTGACAAATTAAATATCTCTCTTCTACCTCTCCTCTCTATATTCTCCCATTCTCCCCTGTTTCACTCTCTCTCTCCCTCTCTCCCACTCTCTCTTTCTTTCTTTCTGTCTCCCATTCTCTCTCTCTCTCTCTCTCTCTCTCTCTCTGTTTCTCTCCCTTTTCTTGCCTTTTACTTTTGTTTGTCTCCTACCCTAATTTCCTCTCTCTCTCTTCGTCATGTATGTTTTATATAATATCTTTGACTCTGTCACCATCTCTTTCTGTGTCTCTCTGTCTCTTTCTCTCTTTGCCTCAGTCTTTCTCCATTCCTCTCTTACTCCCTTTTCTAGACTATAGCAGTCAGTAATCATCTTATTGCTTACCGTTCGTAAATGACTACAGGTCCGTTTGTAAACAGTTTATCCTGTGCATTAAGCACGTTAAGTCTATCATATGCGCCGTGTTGAGAACCCTAAGCTGTAATTCCCATCCGCTGATCTGGGGCTCCCGCAACTCTGTAGTGATAGAAATAGTGCCTGTACACAAAGCATGAATAATTCAAAAACACTATAATTATTTTGAGAGATATTTTGTGTGCCCCGTTATCACCTCAATCAAAATCCAATACCCAAGGCTTATTGCGCATAATTATAATTAATCACAAGAATAAAAACGTGTTCTTATTCTTCTATCTTGTTCCCTCGATATGGAAATAAACGGCCGAATATAATATCGCGCATCGCATAGGGGAAGGTCGGCGTTGAGGTAAATGAAGTCTAGATGCCACATCATCGAATTTTTCTCCTTTTATTTCGAGAAGAGGGGCTATTATCTAAAGAGAGATGCCATTTAATCGATTGGGAACCGATTTGGATTTAGATTGCCATGCGTTTTTTGGATGATAGCTGGGCGACATATCGATCAGATAAGTGACAAAGTGCGCTCACGGACTCCGTACTGATCATCTGATGGGAAGATTCCTCTTCAAAAAAACCTCACCCTTTTCAACTCGTCACCCTTCTTTCTCTATCGCTCCCTCTCCGCTCCACCTCTCCCCTCACTTCTTTTCCCCTCTCTCTTTCTCTCTCTCTCTCTCTTTCTCTTTTTTCTTCTCTTTCTCTCTCTCTCTCTTCTCTCTCTCTCTCTCTCTCTCTCTCTCTCTCTCCCTTTTTCTCTCTCTCTTCTTGAGCGAATTTTTTTTTAGGAAAACATAAAAGGGAGAGGGGTGAAATTGAACAGATCTAAAAAGTGTGAGAGCTGATGCAGATTTGACCGACATAAATATAGAAAGCTGAATGGTGGAGAGTGAGTAATGTATACGTGCTCATATACCTCCTAATAGAGGATAGCAATAGTTCATCTAAGACGAAGAAAAGTCAATCAATCAGATCTGCCTGAGAAGTGTGTGTAATTGGGTTTTTTACAGACGTGTATACCAATCAGATATTATTATTATTGAAGTCTAGGGACCGACCTTTAACGTCACCATCCAACTCGGTTTCGAATCTGGGTCCAAACAGAATCAGTTTGTAGGCGAAGACAGAGCTGACCGCTAGACCAACTCACATCTCTCTCTAATTTTTTTTTTTTTTAAACACTAGTGCTGCGAGCCTGCGACAGGGATTCGAACCCCTTACATTGTGGACTACAACATCACCCTTTCACGCTTGAAAACAAAAGCCTCATACGTTTTAAGTCAAACTCGACGTCTTCAGACATCTCAACAACTTCCTTTCCCTTTTGTAAATCAGTCTGTACGACAATTATTACTTCGATAAAGATTTACAATGAATTTCGACAAAAAATACTGCCAGCTGCTGTTTACCGATTGCTATGCTGTTGCTGTCGACGCATCGTCACAACAGCATTATGGTGTTCGCGTTTATTCTGTCTTTTCGTGGTAGCGTTTGATTTGACTATCTCAAACAAAGTGAAATGAAAAAGAAAGATAAAACATATTGGTCTCAACCTTTTTCGGTTCATCCGCCCTTTTGGGGGGACGTGCCGAGCTGAAGTCTCTCGTATCATGCAAAATGTGTCGTTCCGTGATATCTCACTTGAATGTATCACCCATCAACAAAAACAGTACTAAAGCAAGGCTTTTATGTAGCGTAAATGCCCAAGTGTCAAAGGCTTCCTGTGTATAGCTTAAACACATTTTTCAAGTCAATCCGTTTGTGTTCAGGTCCCTTTCTTTGCCTTGGTTGGTTTCCGTGCGAAGGAAAAAGCAGATTTCGATGTCGAGATATCTATCTGTGAACATCCACCAAAACAGGGGGTGCCAGTGTTTCTGTTTGTTTGGTGTTTATGGATAACTCTTTCATTGAATGGATACAAACGTGATGAAAGGGACACGTTTTAATGTTCCATCTTGTTGCCATCATTCTTGCTTGGATTGGTGGGAAGTTTCGATCGCTTTCATCGGAGTGAAATATGGCATGGTGTTTGGACCAGGTTGTTAGCGGTAGAATAGACGGGGAGGTCGCGGCGTAATAGTGATGAGTAGTCGATGCCGTTCGCACCTCCCCTTATCAGCTTTTATGTTCGATACTTTTCAGCTAAAATAAACACCTTCTCATTCACTTTTCTCTCTACCATTCTCTATCCATACTCTCTCTCTCTCTCTCCTTTTATTTCACCCCTCTCCCTGGTTTCCCTTTGTATTTCTCTCTGCTTTCTGTTATTTCCCCTATTCGTTTGTAAAAGTAACATTGCCCTTTTCGTCCTTAAGGCACGGCTCAACTCTATGATAAAACATTTAGAAACAATATCGTACTTTTGATCTCTTTGTCTAAGACGATACTAAATTATTTTTTTAATTATTTACGGATGCGATGTGAAAAAAGAGAGCGTTGAACTTTCTGTTCGCTCGACAGTGATGCCAAAAAGTACACTGTTGATTTGGCTGTGATTATTTTATTATTATACAAGAAAGCAAGAAGCTTATATTCTTAAAAAATTCAAGTTTGACATTGGTCTGACAGTTATTTTCCACTATTATTTAATGTATCGTCTTTTTGTATTGAACAGTAATAAATTGCTTTTTTACATTAATTTTTTGTGTTCCTGGCCCTTTATACGCCTTTGTTAGAAAATTATTGTTGTCCTCTGGCGTTCTGCTGTTCTGCTGTGACATATAAAGGTCGGTCGTATTATAGGCAGCCGAAATGCTGTTTTTTTTTTTTTTAATTTGTAATTGATAACAACTCCAGCTCCCTTTCCACTGCCGAGTGTACATATTTTGCATAACTATGTTTTGCAAGTTATATAAATGTTATTTAAATAATCATCTTCCCTTTTCTTTTATGTCTCCTGCAGAATATTCGGTACAAGTGGAGCATGTACGGCCTGTGGTCAGCAGATCCCGGCCAACGAGCTGGTCATGAGGACCCAGAATCGTGTCTACCACCTCAAGTGCTTTGCCTGTAGCTCGTGTCACATACAGCTCGTCCCGGGTGATCGTTACACGGTAGTCAACGGCAGCATCGTCTGCGAGAACGACCACAGCAAACTCTACAAGTCGGCGGCGCATCATGGCATGACCCCCGGACACGCCCCGGGCCTGAGACCGGGTAACAGAGTAAGCATTGCACGTCGATGACGCCCAGGGACCCATTTCACAAAACTTGTCATCAGTGACAAATGACAGTTGTTGTTATAAGCTAGTGAAATCCTTGCTTCTTATTGGTTAACGGCAGATTTGTCACTGATATTTGTCATTTGTCATTCAAAAAAGGCTTTGTGAAACGGGTCCCTGATATCACGTTTTAAAATGTATCCAAATCTGTAATGTGCCCTCCTCATGAGTGATTTATACAATTTTCCTACAATTTCTTGTTTCTCTCTACTTTTGAGAGCTACCAAATTGAGGTTGACGGTTGTAGAACAAAGGAGAACAACATTTATGAGAAACCGATTAGAAAACGTGTGGTTGCCGATCAAAATGGCATACATCTTAGTACCAATGTGAGTGAGTTGTTTGAAACCAGAGAAGTGGCATAATGAATATGGATACATTTTATAATGTGATCAATAAATTTTATTGCTGTTATTTTCTACTGCAAAGGCATAATAATTATCATAATATAATGTATAGTGTATTCCGGTAAGTAATTATTATGGCATAACCATATTCTATTACTGTTATTTCCTACTGCTGCTGAGACATTTCCTGTGGGTAATTGTGGCATAAACACACATGAAGGGTCTAGTCATTCTAAATACGTGTTCAGCTCAGTTGTTATGTATTTATAATGTCCTGAACTTAGGGGAGGGATAAGATTGGGGGGGGGGGGACTTCCAAACTTAACCTCTCTCCAATGAGTGTCTACTGACTTACGAATGCACCGCTCACCTATGCGATTTGTAGCTTCAATGACAGGACTGTTTTTCGTTGTGAATATTTCGTAGAAATTGCATAGGAAATAGCGCTGATACAGAAAACTGTCATCGGGTGGGATGATCATAACATGTAATTTAAGCTTCCTTCTACCAACCTTAAAATTGAGTAGGTAAGCTTTAATCCACTCCTGTGGACTTACCAAAGCCAAATGATTCTTCATAAAGGAAATATCGCACATAGACGAGTTGCTCCTGAGATTCAGACCACTGCACTTAACTGCTTAAAGATAGTTTTGAGAAGATGGGGGTTGATAGCCATTTATGCTAATTATATTTTCATGGCTGAATATAAAGTGAAGTCATGATGTGTATTGCTATCATAAAGACACGACTGATGACTTTCTTAATCGCTTCATTTCCCGCTCATCATAATTGCCAACACAATCCCCCAAAAAACATCGAACCACTTTCACTGAAGAAACAAAACGAGGAAGAGGTATTCCCCGTGGCGGTTTGAGTTCATAAGGCTTGTAGCTGTCAGCCGAGTCTCCCCGAGGCATAACCATTACAACCCCGCTGCCAATCTCCCGCGCAAATCCTCCATCAGCCGTATATACACTCCGAGCACGCTATATCCCTCCCGCGTTTTCTGAAGACGGGTACTTCTCCCCCCGAATACAGATGGAAATGGGCTTGTAATACCAGAAGGTTTATGCCCGAGTTAAAACCCCTTCACCGTCTTGTCCTGAAGACGGAAGGGAGGAGCGAGAGAGATGGAGACCTTCTACTCTAACAGGCACTGCCTTCCAATCTCCTTCTCGAAATATGATACGCAGTCTCCATCATACACGCTCTCTAACGGATCATCAGATGTCAAATTAAACATAGAGCAGGTAGCCATTTTCCGTTATCCCTAAAAGCTCGATGAGAGGGCCGTACTTGTGTGCCTTAAAATACAATTTACCCTCCAGACATACTTATTTTTGCCGACTACCATAACAGCAAAAAGGCTTAGACAACCCAAGATGCTCTCCCAGTTTTGAAGGAACACAGACATGGTCATCATATTGAACACCAACCTGTATAATCTCATCATCTCTGGTTGTCATGGTAACGTGTGTATTAGTCAGCCAGTTTTGTTTCGAGATTCTGGAGAGCTGTGTCAACTTGTTACAGGGATATGGGTCTTCATTTTTAAAATCTGTTCGCCGTTTCAATGGGCTCTTTGAGAAAAACTTCAGCGCTTGAATCGTTGAATGAAAGAAAGAATATGGTTTTAAGAAACGTTAGTATCTGCATTTTTGGCTCGAGGGCTTTCATAAATGGAAGTATAGACGGTCACTTCTTCTTATATAAATAAAAGACCAAATTAAGTTTGTAGATCCGCTATATTACAGTTAAGGATGGACGTGGGGGCCGATATTATGTTCATTCGTGTTTTATCAGTAATATTTTGATGAGATGAATAATTTTTCAAACAATTAAAAAGAAAAGCAAAGCAGCCAGAGAAAAACACTTGTGTATACCACGATGTCATCGATTTTTTTGGTTGCTTACTAACAAGCCTTTTATGCTTTCTTAGCTGTCAGGTAAAATAACCACCACTATCAAATACATCTGAACTCGCACGACAGAATTTGTGATTTTGAAATTTATTCTGTGATTAAAAAAACTTTGTAGAAATTAAACTGCGAAAAGAAATAGTTTTGGCTAACAACGTATTGAACCATCTCGTTCTGAAACTGGATTGCCTCATATCGGATTGTGGACTGCGTGGCGGGGGGGGGGGGGGGGGTATGTAGTTCCCAATTTATATGGGTGGGTTTCGATTTTAGAATGATTACAGTAATACAGATGTCCCAAATATGTCTGACATGTCAGTATTATTATGTCGGATAGCGCTCGGTTTCCCCCCGCTCTCGAAACATTGCCTTGTTTCTCCGCTCTCTATATCGCCGCGCACTTAATATTACGTTCGCCCAATTCAAAATGGAAATATAAGGTTTGATTGAAAGGTTTTATGCTTTGAGAGTAACAACGCACTCGCTGCGTACCCTCTTCCCCTCTCCTCATGTAGATGGCTTGAGTGGTGAGAAGCCCCCAAGTAATTGTTAGGCTGTCCGACAAGGAAATGATGAAGAGAGAGATGTATAATGCCTTACCTTCCCTCCTTGCCGATAATTGCCTATCAAGCATCGACTGGAGGGAGATGAAGAAGAAAAAAAAATCGAGTTTGATTATTGCCTCTCTGAACATCTCAGTCTCAAGACAAAAAAGAAGGGAGAAAGGGAGTAGGATAGCACATGAAAGACGGTAAGGCCTGCAATCTTTGGAGTTAAGATACCTTTTCCCCCACGGCATGAATATCGTTTGCCCAAACAAAATTTGTCGTCCAATATATATTCAATACTGAATTGCACACTTGTGCAGCTACGGACAAGACAAGAATCCCCTCTCGGATAATTGCATTTGCATGGCAAGATCAGGACGCGTGTGGCGCTTCAGCTAGAATTGTCAAAAATACTTTCTCTTTTTCTTGTAGTACACATGTATTCGTGCTTGAATTCAGTAATGGGGTGTTCTAAATAATTGGGACAACAAAGATGAGAGATGCAATAGCTGTAATGATGCTATTTCTATGAATAAATTCAAAATACACAGGATACATGTATCATAAATGCTGTAATTCCAGGATTATTCATAATTTTAGCAATAATTTTATAGTTGGTTTAAGAATTTTGAGTTCCTGAAGTGAGATTGTCCTGTGGAAGAACGCTTTACGAAATTAATTCAGGAATTTAGAATATTCGTTTGACTTCGTCATCATTGTGACCGATGTTGTGTACCGACATGAAGAAGGAAGGGGCGAGATTACGTAAGGGCGAGTTTTATATAGGTGCATTGTTTGGGTCCGAGGGTCACGGTTGATCATAGACTACAGCGCTTCATTTTTTGTTGGAAAAGAAAAATTCCTTTGAATGTATTTTGTTGAACGAAGTTAATTTATTCTTTTAGTCTTATAAATTATACTTAGAACTTAGAAGTAAATCTAAACTGGAATATTGTGAAGTGACGCACAAAAGCTTGTAAAATTACTAAAAATGAAGAAAATAATTAACTGAAACAGGCTTGTCTCCAAATTGCTGTCACACCGTCGTTGTTAGGAGATGGCAGTCTCTTCGATTCGCTCGCATATATTTGTACGATTTTTGTTCACGCTTTTAAGTAAAGAGAGAAGTGATGAGGTTGATAATGAAAAGGTAAAAAAGTAAGAGAACTACTGAGAGTTAATTGAGATGATGAACGGGAAGATCAAAGGGGAAATGGATTTGGGAGATGGTCCGAGAAAAGGGATAAAACTAGGATCGAAGAATAGACATAGAATCTGAGTTTTTGCTTGCAGCTATAGCATGTGAGATGAACCTATGGCGTTAAACACGAGTCAAACCAATTAGAGCGATGGTAGACTTGACCTGAAATGACCTCTGCGATAGCCATGTCCAAACAAGCTGTGATATGTAGGGCGCGACGGCACTACGAGTGCAATTACTGAATGATGGTTCGGCGCACTAGTAGCCTTATCCAAGCACCCAGATTGGATTACCTCACCGTCATCTCCTTCAATTTTTGCCCCAGATCTCGAAAACTTGACCCGAATTCTATTTCTAAAATCGTTCCTTACAGCTGTGATCATCACGCTTAAGATCCGCCCACGATATCTGGTTTCAAATTAAGCCACGGCTGAAATCCTTGTAGAACTACATGGCTTTTTAATACGGGAAAGTCTGAAAGAAAACCAAGGTTGAAGAGACAACCGCTGATTTTTGAGATGGCGAGGATCATTAGACGGTATGTGTGAGATAGGTATGAAGATGCATTGCGAGGTGGAGACGAAGACAGACATGTATGCATTAGACAAGACAGCTCACAATCGAAAGACAGGTCACCCCCCCCCCCCCCCCCCCCTGCAAAAAATGTAGTGAGATGGGTTCTAAATCATTCGTGCTTCCTTATACAAGACGATATATGTAGCCGGGCAGCTTGTTTCATAAGCAGGATTGGTTCTCCAATAATTGATAGTTATCCTTCACCTGATGAACTTCGCATTTGTGTTCACGAGAACAATATTAGATGATAAATTCACGTTTTGAAACAGGGGCCCTTAACGACAAAGAAAGTTTTGTAAATGCTTTACATTACCGTTACATCACGTTTTGCTTGCATGTATATGTATGCAAC